GAGCCTAAATCCCATTGAAAATTTTACCTGATGAGACTAATGAGTCAGCACAGCAATACCTAAAGTGTAGTTTGTTCTGTGTTTGTACCACATTGGTCTCTGACCCATGACTGGGGAACCGTGGTGCTACCTATGCAGAAGAATCAATAATCCCCCATCTGTATGTATCCATCTGCCTCTTGTCTTATATTTAGATTGTTAGTACCATGCGTCAAGGACCATCTTTTTTGTGCTGTGTTTGTACAGCACCTTGCACAATGGGGTCCTGGCTCCTAAATAATAAAATAATAAGTGCCATTATTTTGCTTTCACAAGTAAGGGAGCTGAAAGTGCGACTTGATTTTACTACAAAAAAGTTGAGCATAGGAAAATGTGTCACTGTTGCATGGCAGGGGAGTGCACTTGCTAACTCCTGCATGCCGCGACCAGGTAGCCCACTCAGGGATGCCAGGATCGGGAGGACTACTGCTTTGTGTGAGCACACAGTCCAACTCCCATTTGAACCCTCTCTAAGCACTGTAATTGCCTTTTAACTTTGGCTGCCCCTCAAGTCGTTACAATGGTTCTTAAAAGCCAAAGCTCTCGGTAGCTATTACTCTCGGCGACATGGTGGCAGGAAATAAATCAATGGAGACACAGCAGTCCAACCAATCGGTGGCTGGCACAAACAGAACACTGCAAGAGTACATTCACTTAAAGCTGCACTTTATTTTGTCTCAAGCATTTGCACACATCTGGAACTGGTTAGTAAAACACCCCCGAAATCAATAATGATCGAAGTCTGGAGTGGTTTTCAAGTGGTACAACAACAGTCATCCAATTGGCCAGTCTTTCAGCTGCTGTTGGGGACCCTAAAATATGTCCATGAAGTGCTCCTGAAGCACACTCCATACTACTCCCCTTATTTAAGAACATAAGAACATCCATATTGGGTCAGACCAAAGGTCCATCTAGCCCAGTATCCTGTCCTCTGACAGTGGCCAGTGCCAGGTGCCCCAGAGGGAATGAACAGAACAGGTGATCAGCATTGATCCATCGCCTGTCGCCCATTCTCAGCTTCTGGAAAACAGAGGCTAGGGGCACCATCCCTGCCTATCCTGACTAATAGCCATTGATGTGCCTATCCTCCATGAATTTATCTAGTTCTTTTTTGAATCCTGTTAGAGTCTTGACCTTCACAACATCCTCTGGCAAGGAGTTCCACAGGTTGACTGTGCGTTGTGTGAAAAAATACTTCCTTTTTTTTTGTTTTAAAACTGCTGCCCATTAATTTCATTTGGTGACCCCTAGTTCTTGTGTTATGAGAAGGAGTAAATAACACTTCTTTATTTACTTTCTCCACACCCATCATGATTTTACAGACCTCTATCATGTCCCCCCCAGTCATCTCTTTTCCAAGCTGAAAAGTTCCAGTCTTATTAATCTCTCCTCATATGGCAGCCATTCTATACCCCTAATCATTTTTGTTGCCCTTTTCTGAACCTTTTCCAATTCCAATATATCTTTTTTGAGATGGGGCAACCACATCTGCGTGCAGTATTCAAGATGTGGGCATACCATGGATTTATATAGAGGCAATATAATATTTTCTGTCTTATCTATCCCTTTCTTAATGATTCCCAACATTCTGTTCGCTTTTTTTGACTGATGCTGCCCATTGAGTGGATGTTTTCAGAGAACTATCCACAATGACTCCAAGATCTCTTTCTTGAGTGGTAACAGCTAATTTAGACCCGATTATTTTATGTGTATAGTTGGGATTATGTTTTCCAATGTGCAATACTCTGCATTTATCAATATTGAATTTCATCTGCCATTTTGTTGCTCAGTCACCCTGTTTTGAGAGATCCTTTTGTAGTCCTTCGCCGTCTGCCTGGGACTTAACTATCTTGAGCAATTTTGTATCGTTTGCAAATTTTGTCACCTCACTGTTTACCCCTTTTTCCAGATCATTTATGAATATATTGTATAGTACTGGGCCCAGTGTAGACCCATGGGGGACACCACTATTTACCTCTCTCCATTCTGAAAACTGACGATTTATTCCTATCCTTTGTTTCCTATCTTTTAACCAGTTATCGATCTATTAAAGGACCTTACTTTGCTTAATAGCCTTTGGTAAGGGACCTTGTCAAAGGCTTTCTGAAAATCTAAGTACACTATATCCACTTAACCCCCCTTGTCCACATGCTTGTTGACCCCCTCAAAGAATTCTAGTAGATTAGTGACGCATGACTTCCCTTTACAAAAACCATGTTGAGCATTCCTCAACATATCATGCTCATCTATGTGTCTGACAATTTTGTTTTTTACTATAGTTTCAACCAGTTTGCCTGGTACTGAAGGCCAGCCTACCAGCCTGTAATTGCCAGGATCACCTCTGGAGCCCTGTTTAAAAATTGGTGTGACATTAGCGATCCTCCAGTCATCTGGCACAGAAGCTGATTTAAATGATAGGTTACAGACTACAGTTAGTAGTTCTACAGTTTCACATCTGAGTTCCTTCAGAACTCTGGGGTGAATGCCATCTGGTCCTGGTGACTTATTACTGTTTAGTTTATCAATTTGTTCCAAAAACTCCTCTAATGACACCTCAATCTGGGACAATTCCTCAGATTTGTCACCTGAAAAGAATGGCTCAAGTTTGGGAATCTCCCTCACTTTCTCAGCCATGAAGACTGATGCAAAGAATTCATTTAGTTTCTCAGCAATGGCCTTATTGTCCTTGAGTGCTCTTGTAGCATCTTGATCGTCCAGTAGCCCCACTGGTTGTTTAGCAGGCTTCCAGCTTCTGATGTACTTTAAAAAAATTTGCTATTACTTTTTGAGTCTTTGGCTAGCTGTTCTTCAAATTCTTTTTTGCCCTTCCTAATTGTATTTTTACACTGCATTTGCCAGAGTTTATGCTCCTTTCTATTTTCCTCACTAGGATTTCACTTCCACTTTTTAAAGGAGGTCTTTTTGTATCTCACTGCTTCTTTTACTTTGTTGTTTAGCCACGGTGGCACTTTTTTGGTTCTCTTGCTGTGTTTTTTAATTTGGGGTATACATTTAAGTTGAGCCTCTATTATGGTGGCTTTAAAAAGTTTCCCTGCAGCTTGCAGGGATTTTACTTTTGGAGCTTTTCATTTCTGTTTAACTAACCTCATTTTTCTGTAGTTCCCCTTTCTGAAATGAAATGCTACAGTGTTGGGCCACTGTGGTGTTTTCCCCATCACAGGGATGTTAAAGTTAATTATAAGTTTCAGAGTAGCAGCCGTGTTAGTCTGTATTCGCAAAAAGAAAAGGAGGACTTGTGGCACCTAACCAATTTATTTGAGCATTATTTGAGTTAATTATATTATGGTCACTATTACCAAGCGGTCCAGCTATATTCACCTCTTGGACCAGATCCTGTGCTCCACTTAGGACTAAATCAAGAATTGATTCAGGTTAGTGTAATAATAACGTGTAAATCAAAAAAAGAACTTGTTAAGCAAGCCATTTCAAAGTTAAGCAAGTTCCAAAGGTTAAGCAAGAAGTTTTTCTTAAACCATGAATTAGATAGATGAGGGGGTTTTATTTGGGGGCGGGTTGTTTTTTGTGGGGGTGTTTTTTTGGTTGGTTGTTTATGTGTTTTTCCAGAACTTGCATGTTTTGAGGGCCCTGACAAACACATCCCAAAGGGCAAATACGGGTAAGCATCCTGTTTTATCAGGAAGGACAGAGGGTCAGGCTCCCCCCCCCGCCCCGGCTGCTTACTTAGTTATGCTAAGGCCTTTGCAGAGCCTTCTAAGACCTCCTGACTTAGCTGCTTTTGGCAATAAGCATGATAATTGCTATTCCAATTATTGGTAGTGGTCCACGCATTTTGCTGCTCAGCCAAGATCTCTCTGCACAAAGTCTCCCACACGACCGCATAAGAACAACGGTGGCTAAAGCTGTTGTGACTCCAGACTCCTGTGGCAGTTTTACATAATGGACAACAGGACGTCATTCCATGTTATATGGCAACATTTTCCTTCCTGAAAACCATTTTACTCCATTCGGGTGATGCTTGATTTTTCTCTTCACAACAGCAGCACTTCACCAATGACTAGCATGAGCTCTGCAATAATGTATTTTACGTATTCAGCACCCACTTTATCAAGTATTTCCGCTTTCCTTTCTTTAGACTGAATGGCCGGTTTCAAGAAATAATGACAATCTCCAAGAGCAGATAATAAGAAGCTTCATTAACCAGGTACCCTCTCAGAGTTACAATACACGGCTTTTGACATTCTGAATAAGACTAAGTCTTTGAGAAAGACAATGGAATATTGAGGTTATTCAAACGACTGACTTCAATATGGATGCTCCCCATTAACTGATAATTAATTACATTTTACTGGTAAAAAAAAAAAAAAGTTCATTTCTACCATCAACCCTTAATTGAAACTCTAGGTGGATTAACCTGATGAGATCTGAATTGCAAATATAGGGCTGGAGAATGGATGCCCTTGTCTTAGGGCTTGTCTACACTGGAAATTTACGGCACTGCAATTTTCTCGCTCAGGGGGTGAAAAAACACCCACCGTAGCTCAGCAAGTTGCAGCAGTGTAAAGCGCCAGTGTAGACAGTGCCCCAGCGCTGGGAGCTACGCCCCTCATGTAGACTTAGGGCATGGCTACACTTGCGAGTTAGCGCGCATTAACGCAGCCCCGTGCGCGCTAACTCACGATGCAGCCACACTGGCAAGGCACGTAGAGCACTGCCGGCACTCCGCCTCGGCGAGTGGGATAACATTTGATGCGCCCCCCAGGCGTGGAGTGCTCTCAGTGACTCTTTCCAGGTGACCATGTGACAGATTTTTTTGTTACCAATCTGCCTGGGCCACAGTTGATCAGGCTGGGGCCACAGGATCTTTTTTGGGGAGGAGATGACGAGGCACATCAAGTGTCTACATTTTAAAGCTTTATCGATAAAATAATAAAATAACAGCAGAGAGTGCTGGGAACGCTCCCATATCACTCAGGGGAAGAAAGAAAGTGTTAATGCCCCAAGCCCTGTCCCACTTTCATACTCACGTACGCTACCCAAGGCTGGCCAGGCCTTGGTGTAATGTAAGTCCAAACCGGCTTGCTGTGGCCTTCTCAGTTTCCCAAAACATCCTGGCCCTGGAGACTTAGTTTTCCCTTCTATTGTCCTTTGCTGTAATGGCTCCAGCTCTCACTGTTCCTGCTGTTATCTTTGCAGTTCTGCTCCACTTAGTTTTTCTCTTCTTATGGCTGGTGTGGGGGTTGGACTTTCCCCCTTCTGTCTTGGCAGGTAGCCACTGGCCTTGGGCTCAAGTTAGCTTCTTATCTTTGGACTGAGCTTGTTAGCTGCAGTGTTGAGTTAACCCATTCTCTGCTCTCTTCTTTCTCTCCCCCCCTTCTCGGGCTCTCATAAAGGAAACTTCCACTCACACACTTTTAGCCCTCCCCAAAATGCTTTGTGATGCTTGCAACAGTGTTAGCCACATACAATGCTGATCTGCCTTCCCTGGAGACTCCCTGGGGGGGGGGGGCATTGGGGTGTGACAACCATGCCTCCACACGCCAGGCGATCCCAAGTATGGAGCAATGGCAAGGTGCTGGACCTCATCAGTGTTTGGGAGGAGGAAGCTGTCCAATCCCAGCTGTGCTCCAGCCGTAGGAATTATGATACCTTCGGGCAGATATCAAGGGACATGATGGAAAGGGGACATGACCAGGATGCACTGCAGTGCAGGGTTAAAGTGAAGGAGCTGTGGAATGCCTACCGCAAAGCCTGCGAGGCAAACCGCCGCTCTGGTGCTGCCCCCGCGAACTCCCGTTTTTACAAAGAGCTGGACACGATACTTGGGGGTGACCCCACCTCCACTCCAAGTACCACCATGGACACCTCAGAGCACGGTCCAACAAGGCAGAAGGAAGAGGAGGAGGAGGAGGAGCAAAGTAGGAGCGAGGGTGCTGAGGCGGAGGAAGACACCCCAGCATCCCTAGATGCATGCAGCCAGGAGCTGTTCTCAAGCCAGGAGGAAGGTAGCCAATCACGGCAGCCGGTGCTTGGGGAAGGACAAATACCAGAGGAGGTTCCCGGTAAGCGGCTTTTATTTTGGGAAGGAAGTTATTCGGTGCAGGCTCTTGGGGCGAGGAGGGTTAGGGCTGCATGCATGCCTAGATGCGGAATAGGGCATTAATGTGCTGTCTCACATCACGGTAATCGGCTTCAGTGATCTCTTCAAAGGTCTTAGCCAGAACCTGGGCAATGCTCTTGCGCAGGTTTCTCGGGAGAGCCACTGTGGTCCCTGTCCCAGTCAGGCTAACTTGTCCACGCCACTGTGCCATGAGGGGCAGGGGGACCATTGCTGCACACAGGCAAGCTGCATATGGGCCAGGGCAGAAGCCGCATTGCAGTAAAAGACCTCCCTTGCTTCCCAGGTCACCCTCAGCAGCGAGATATCTTCCAGGACAAACTCCTGTGGAAAATGTGGGGACAGTGTTCAGTATAGGGGCCCCTGCCGCTGTTGGCTCTCCCCAAGGCACAGAAACCCAGAGGACAGTACAGCCATGAAAGAATCAGTCCCCTTTGACCCTGTGCTTACTCACCATTTTGGGGCTCCCATGGGTTATGTGCGCTCGCTTTGGGACGGGCAAATTATGCTATTGTGTAGAGTCTGTGCTTGCTCTTAATAGTACGGAGGAATCATTGCTCTGTCTGGTGTGAACAATGCTACCTCAGTTAAGTGTTGCGTTTTGCCTTTACAGATGCAACCTTGAGATCTCAGCCGTTCGTGTTATCACCGGCCGAGAGGCTGCAAAGAATCAGGAAGAGGCCACGTAGAAGCAAAGAGGACATGCTGCATGAAGTCATGCAGCGGTCCCTTAATGAAAATCAAAAAGTGCAGGAGTGGCAGGAGAGTGAAAGGAGGGTCCGCCAGCAGAATGCGGATCACCGGCACCAAAGCGCGGAGCGGCTGACAAGCATCATGGAGCGCCAAGCAGACTCGATCCAGGCGCTCGTAGCCATGCAGGCAGAGCACTACCGCCCCCCCGCCCCACAGCCCTCGTCCCAAAACTCTTTCCCTTGTGCCCCCATGTCACCTCCAACCCACTTTCCCCAACATCCGGGATCTTATCGCCACCAGCTGCCTCCAACACCTGTAGCTTCGCCACCCAGCCCTGAAAACTACGACCCCGACCCGCTGCACTCAACCCCCATCACCATGCAGTGTAGCCACCCTGAAGTGCAACACTCATTGCACAGCACTCCAGACAGGAAGGCTGAGTATGATAACAGGACGTACGCAAACCTGTGATTCTACCGTTCCCCACCCCACCCCTTTGCGTTTCCCAAGCAGTTGTGTTTCTTTTCAATAAATGCATTTTCTTTTCATTAAATGGATTTTTTTTTTGCTTTGAAAGCATGCTTTATTATTGCATATTGTAAAAGATACCTTAGCCCAGGAAAGCAACAGGCACTGCAAGTCAGTGTATCATACGTAGCAAACACAGATTCCTACTAACATTGGAACCACTGCACTTCACTCCCGTGCAGGACACCAGACGTTACTGGTGGCTTTCAGCCTCAGATTGCTCCCTCAAGGCATCCCTAATCCTTGCAGCCCCACGCAGGGACCCTCTAATAGCCCTGCTGTCTGGTTGTTCAAATTCAGCCTCCAGATGTTGAACCTCTGAGTTCCATGCCTGAGTGAATCTTTCACCCTTCCCTTCACAAATCTTACGGAGGGTACAGCACACAGATATAACCGCGGGGATGCTGTTATCGGCCAGGTCCAGCTTCCCATACAGAGCACACCGGCTGCCCTCTAAATGGCCAAAAGCACACTCCGCAGTCATTCTGCACCGGCTCAGCCTGTTGTTGAACTGCTCCTTGCTGCTGTCAAGGCTCCCAGTGTAGGGTTTCATGAGCCATGGCATTAAAGGGTAAGCGGGGTCTGCAAGGATCACAATGGGCATTTCGACTTCCCCTACGGTGATCTTCTGGTCTGGGAAAAAAGTCCCGGCTTGCAGCTTCCTGAACAGGCCAGTGTTCCGAAGGATGCATGCGTCATGCACCTTTCTGGGCCAGACTGCGTTAATGTCAATGAAATGCCCATGGTGATCCACAAGCACCTGGAGAACCATAGAGAAATAGCCCTTCCGATTAACGTACTCAGAGGCTAGGTGGGCTGGTGCCAGAATTGGAATGTGTGTGCCATCTATCGCCCCTCCGCAGTTCGGGAAACCCATTTGTGCAAAGCCAGCCGCAATGACATGCCCGTTACCCAGAGTCCCGGTTCTTCTGAGCAGGATGCGATTAACAGCCCTGCAAAACTTGCATCAACACGATTCCAACAGTCGACTTTCCCACTCCAAACTGGTTAGCGACCGATCGGTAGCTGTCTGGAGTTGTCAGCTTCCAGACTGCAATAGCCACCTGCTTCTCCACCATCAGGGCAGCTCTCAACCTCATGTCCTTGCACCTCAGGGTCGGGGCGAGCTCCTCACACAGTCCCATGAAAGTGGCTTTTCTCATCCGAAAGATCTGCAGCCACTGCTCGTCATCCCAGACTTGCATGACGATGTGCTCCCACCCCTCAGTGCTTGTTTCCCGAATCCAAAAGCACCGTTCCACGGCAGTGAGCATGTCTGTGAATGCCACAAGCAATTGCGTGTTGTATGCATTACTCGCGTCAATATCATCGTCGGAATCCTCACTGTCACTTTGGATCTTAAGGAATAACTCGCCTGCCAAACGTGATGTGCTGGCGAGACTCGTCAGCATACTCCTCAGCAGTTCGGGATCCATTCCCGCAGAGCGAAAGGGAAGACAGAGCGCGCAGTACAAAAAACATTGAAAGATGGCATCAATTGTGGATGGAAGCAAGGGGATTGCTGGGATGCGAACCGATGCATCATGGGGCATTGGGACAGGACCCAGAATGCCCCGCACCACCACCACCACCCCTGCACCCTTCCCACAAGCCACAGCACCTGAATGGGAAGAGGTGCTCTTTGGGATAGCTGCCACAATGCACTGCTCCCAATGCCGCTGCAAGTGCCGCAAATGTGGACACGCTAGTGCGCTTGCAGCTGTCAGTGTGGACAGACTGCAGCGCTTTCCCTGCTGCGCTCTACAAAGGCTGGTTTAACTCAAAGCGCTTTACATTTGCAAGTGTAGCCATGCCCTAGCCCTTAGTGATAGACTCAAGGAGTTCTAGTTATTTAGCTTAACAAAGAGAATGTTAAGGGGTGGCTTGATTATAGTCTATGTGTACTTAAATGGGGAACAAATATTTGATAATGAGTTCTTCAATCTAGCAAAGAAATGTCTAACATGGTCCAATGGCTGGAAGCTGAAGCTAGCCAAATTCAGACTGGAAATAAGGCATGAATTTTTAACAGTGAGAGTAATTAGCCATTGGAACAACTTAACAAGGGTCGTGGTTGATTCCACATCACTGACAATTTTAAAACCAAGATTGGATGATTGAGTGCCCTCTTAGAAATCAATGGCTATTAGACAGGAGGGCAGGGCTGGTGTTCCTATTCTCTATTTGCCAGAAGCTGGGAATGGGCAACAGGGGATGGATCACTTGGTGATTACTTGTTCTGTTCATTCCCTCTGGGGCACCTGGCCACTGTCGGAAGACAGGATACTGGGCGAGACGGACCTTTGGTCTGACCCAGTATGGCCATTCTTATGTTTTATGTTCTAAAGTATATGTGCTAGGAATTATTTTGAGGAAGTTCTATGCCCTGTGTCATAGAGGAGGTCAGACTAGATGATCACAATGGCCCCTTCTGGTCTTGGATTCTATGAAACTATGAATCTACTCACCTAAACAGGGAACTAAATTTCCTATTTCTAAGACACTGACAATACAGAAGAAAATGATCTTGAATGCTTATGGATCAATGTCCTAAAGCAAAAGTAAAAGATGGAGTGCTACCAAATCACACTAGGGAACAAAATGATTGGATATTAGGAAAAACTTTTTCACTCGGATGGTGGTGAAGCACTGGAATGGGTTACCTAGGGAGGTGGTGGAATCTCCTTCCTTAGAGGTTTTAAGGTCGGGCTTGACAAAGCCCTGACTGGGATGATTTAGTTGAGGATTGGTCCTGCTTTGAGCAGGGGGTTAAACTAGATACCTCCTGAGGTCCCTTCCAACCCTGATATTCTATGATTCTATGACTAGCTCCTTAAGCACCTATCTATAACGTTTACGGGGGGAAAGATCATGGGGGACTTCAATGTGAATAACATATGCTGGAGGTTGTGTGCTTCCAGTTCTAAAACATCCTCGGAATTCCTAAATATTATTGATGACAACTTCATAACTCAAAAAGGGTCGTTACCTGCTAGGATGTTACCTGCTAAGCTGAGTTTAGCTCTGCCACAAAAGCTTTAGATCTCCAGGGCTACTACAGTGATCACCAAGCACAAAATTTTACAAAGACTGGAAGAGCAGGTTTACACTTCAACTAGAGCAGTGGTATTTGGGCCCGTGTGAGTTAGCAGCTGGAGAATAGCTTATCGCCAGAGAGATCAATCACATGAATTTGCGGAAATTTGGACCCCATTTCTAGATACATTTGGATAGAAAAAAGTTGAGAGTGCTCAAAGAATGCCAGACCTCCACTCCACCTAATCCTGCCTTGTTTTCCCTCTCAGCCCCCCTGGGTCCCCTCCTTCCCTCCTCTCCCTATCCATGTACCTCTTTCCTATTTTATTACAGTCGCCCCATCGTATCATGGTATTTCTATGCAGTATTGTCTGTTCTCGCCACTTTGGCGAGCTGTAAAGCACAATTGTATAATTCTACTGGTGAGTTCTGAAGCATGTAGTATTTGGAAACATATACAAGCTATGTGTTGTTCACCTTTTAGTACTTTTTACCTTTTTTAAAATAAAAATCAATTAAAAATTAACCAAAAAAAAGGGGGAAATGGCATGATCTGTAATTTTAGGCCTGTCCGGCTGACATCAATCCTGGGCAAAATAATGGAATGGCTGATATGGGACTTGGTCAGGGCAGTTTGCTTTCTGTGTTTTGACATCCCATGATGGCAATTTGTGTTTTAAAGGTTTAAAAAGCTTTAACTTTTTAAATCTCCATGTCTACTGTCACTAAATAAGTATCTGACCCTCTCCATTGTCTGACTGGTCCCCATAATGTCCCACAATTGTGAACATTTTGATTGATAAAATTTGAAAAAATGCTTAATCCATAGTTTTGTGCAAATGAGAAAATCAGTAAAAATAAAAAATGCTTAAAATAAACATCAATATTATTGGTCAAAATTATAAAAATATAAACATTGAATTCTGCCAGACCTATTTATTTTCTTCCCTTCATTTCCTAATGAAGATTTCTATAGCCCAGAAAGAGACTGTGGCTCGGGAAATGTTCTATGGAGTTGTTTCTTATTCCACATTGGTGCTGACTAAGGACATGTCTATACTACAACCTTATGTCATTCCCCGGGGAGGGGGGAAGCTGCCCGGGGCTTCTTGCCCCCTGCTGGGAGTGAGGGAAGCTTCCCAGAGTTCTCACCTCCCCGCTTCCAGCTGAGAGCCTGGGGGGCGGGGGGCAGCCAGACTCCTGGCAGGGACATCTACACCCAGAGTCCAGTCAGCTGCCGTGCTCCCGGCAGGGAACCGATAACCCCTGGGGGCGGGCAGCCAGGCTCCCAAACGGGAGATCAACGCACAGTCTGGTTGGCTGCCATGCTCCCAACAGGGAGCAGGGAGCCAAGAGCCAGGAGTGCAGCTGGGCTCCCAGCCATAAGCCTTGGTGCAGCTTGGCTCCCAGTGGGGAGCTTGGGTGGCAGCACAAGCCAGGAGCCTGGGTGGCAGCCCAGCTTGGAATGGAGCCTTGAGAAAGCCCAGCTGGGAGCCAGGCACCTTGATTACTTGTCAATTCCAATTTGAAATTGACAAGACAGCTAACAGCCCAGGTAAGGAAAGCCCTGTCTACCCAAACACTGCATCACCCTAACTTCACCGAC